AAACATTCTACATTATCCTTACTTACTAGTAGTAAAAACATTCTACATTATCCTTACTTACTATCAGCAGAACATTCTACATTATTCTTACTTACTAGCAGTAAAAACATTCTACATTATTCTTATTTACTAGTAGTAAAAACATTCTACATTATTCTTGCTTACTAGCAGTAAAAACATTCTACATTATTCTTATTTACTAGTAGTAAAAACATTCTACATTATTCTTACTCACCTATGAACAAAGCCCATGGAATGAATGGCGTCCACTGCAAGAACCACTTCAGCACAATAAAACTTGGCCCACTTTTCTGGCACATCATAGTTGCTCATAAGGTTTACTAAATCACCACCTGGCATATAGTCCATCACCATGTATAGATTCTTACTATCTTGGATTGCAAAATGGAGCTAAAAACAAAGAATTAAACAATGAAAATAAAATATAAAAGGAAATATCTGTTATTTAATGTATTATGAAAGTAGAAACATAACAAAAATTCTGTTATTTTATAAGTAATGAATTTACACACTTAGAATTGTCTATTATTTAGTAATAAAGATAGAAACATAAAAGTAGTTGTAAATTAATGAATAAAGAAACTTCAATTATCTGTTATTTGATAAGTACTAACAGTAGAGACATAACATTAATTAACTGTAAAATTGTATGAAATGAAAAGAAAAACCAAATCAATTAGTGATTTAGTAAAATCCAAGCAAAATTATAAGCAACATTGTCAAATAAAAAAAAGTACAGCCACATATGTTTCACTCTATGATATAGCCTGTCTTAATACAAACTCACCTGTACTATCCACTCTGTAACATAGCCTGCCTTAACACAAACTCACCTGGACTATTCACTCTGTAACATAGCCTGCCTTAACACAAACTCACCTATACTATCCACTCTGTAACACAGCCTCAATTTTGTTCTAGTTTATAGTGCCTATTGACACAAAAATGTTTCTGTGTTTTACTAGTTTTATCTTATTTTTGCTATTTAGATTAAAAGGTCTGACTCAGCATTCTTTTGGGAAGAACGTTTTATTATGGCATATGCAAACTCAGAGTGGATAGTCAAGGTGAGTTTGTGTTAAGTTGAGCTATGTCGAAGAGTGAATAGCCAAGGTGAGTTTGTGTTAAGTCAAGCTATGTTACAGAGTGAATAGTCAAGGTGAGTTTATGTTAAGGCAGGCTAAGTCACAGAGTAAATAGTCAAGGTGATTTTGTATTAAGGAAGGCTATGTTACAGAGTGAATAGTCCAGGTGATTGTGTGTTAAGGCAGGCTATGTTACAGAGTGAATAGTCCAGGTGAGTTTGTGTTAAGGCAGGCTATGTTACAGAGTGAATAGTCATAGTGAGTTTGTGTTAAGTTAGGCTGTGTTACCGAGTGAATAGTCATAGTGAGTTTGTGTTAAGTTCCCTTAAAATACTTCTAGAATCTAGAACAACACCTGTAATTAAATCTCTTTTACATTATTAAAAATAGCCATTTAATCAAGTTTATTGTTCAGAATTTTCACTGAACAATTACTTGAAGATGTTGGAAATGACTTGTAAGCTCACTCATTAGGTGGAAGAAAACCTATTAAAAAAACAAGTCCACCTCTGAATTTCATCATCTTTGTACAAAAGATGAAAATTTTGTAAATTTATGTGAACATCTATTTAACATCATACACAATTTAGTATAATTATCTACTCTTTTTGTATAAACTACTGACTTTATGAGTTTAAAGTACACAACCTACAAATTTTTTATACAGTTGTAATATATTTAACTTACCATTTCTAACTTGCTAAGAAGCTTCATTGCATAAACTTGTTGTGTTGACCTCTTTCTCACCTGAATTATAAGATAAACACAAGATATTGTGATACTGACAGTTTTATCAAAATTAGTGTTTCTTCAAAAGTTTTATTACAATTTTCTGTTATGAACATTCACAAGCAGTAAAACATTAAAATATTTTAAGTCTAATAACTCGAAATCAGATTTATATTTCATTGTAGAATGTAGAGAGTATCTTACAATATTTTTATTGCCTGCTGTACTCCCTCTCCTTCCTGTGCATGTCATGAGGTTTCACTGAGTTACATTCAAAATTTAATTAAGCAACTTTACTATCAATTTGTCAATGAAATTAACATTACAATGTACATTATTATTAAATGTTTTATATTATCTAAGTTTTAATTCCTTTATTTCAATAGAAAACTTTAAAAAAAACTACTTAATCTTGGGTTATCTTGTCCTGTGATGCACAAGTACTTACAGATCTTAACTTTCACTCTTTGTAAATTAAGTAAACGTCTATGTCTATAACAGAAACTAGGCTAATTACTCTGTTTATATATCCTTCTTTGAAATTCCTTAGGACAAATTCTGATAAAGAAGAAATAAATATCTTAGGAACTCTTGACAAAAGCCATGCCCACTTTCTACACGTAGACTTGCAATTTCACAGACAACTACTTATTTGAGGTAGATGTTCATAACCAATAGAAAGAGCTCATTTAACACAACACTGTACAAACTGATATCTATTAAAAACACCTAAACCATAATAAGGATGTATTCACAACACTAACAGAATGTATATACTGACTTCTATTAAAAAGACAAACCTTAATAAATATATTTCATATACATAATACACAGAACATATCTATTAACACTAAGCTATTCTTAACACATACACACTGAAATCCATTAAAACCATACACAAGCTACTTATACTTACCAACTGAACTTCACCAAAAGCTCCTCTTCCTATGGTTTTAATCACAATAAAGTCTTCTGGTTTCATTCGACATTCATCTATCATTTGAGCAGACAGTTCATCTAAAAACAGAGAGAAAATTACTGTTCTCTGACTTGGATTACAACACAGTGAGGGAGAACCAGGTATTACTAATACACTATACTCAAACTTCAAATATAATAGCATTGAGAAAAACTGTGCATTAACTCTCTTCACATGAGCTCAGTCAATTTGACTGACCACGTGACCTTTTTTGTACTCACATAAAATCTTTATAAGTTTAATACTTCTAACTTTGAATATAGTGTGTATATCTTCACAAAATTTGGCAGTCTTTCACGTACAAAAAATCATATTTTGTAGTGAAGTATTTTTAATAAACTAAAAAAAGATTTTCCTTGAATATATCTAGCATTTGTTTTGAATAGTCCATGAGCAAATAACTTTCTTCATCTCAAAATCTCAAATTTCATTTGTGTAATCTCTAAAACCTCCTAAATACATTTCAAATGCTTGTTTTCAGTAAGACTTTATATTTTGTAATTTTCTCTACCCTAACTCTATAC